CTGGTCCGTTCACTTTGGCCAAAACAGATGTTTTATCCTGCTACTGAAAAGTTTTGGTCCTTCTAACAGCAGCATTATGAAGCAGCCTGCTGACCCCCTTACTGGCAGGTAGAGTTAATGTTGTCTGGATATCAGCCTCACTTCTGTCACCTCTCCCTAGTCATGAAGAGCAGCTGAAGGGACTTGGCCATGGCCCAGCCTGGCAGCAAGGCATGCAGGCACTCCTGGGTGTCCAACATGCATCACATCTCTGCTCTGCTATGCAAGCAGGTGGAGAGGAGGGGATCCTCCTGGCTTTCACCTGCAGTTAGTTACCCTGCCAACTTAATTTCTGTCCAGCTAATCAAGACAGCGTCTTTTCCACTGGCTGGTCTGTACCCTCTGTGAAAGTAGCAGATGATTCTTGGTGGAAATCTGATCTTTTTAATCTCCATGGTTATGTTTTGCCTAATGAAAACCAGCAGTAGAGTAGGACTGGGGATTATAGTTATATTTTTTCCTGATAGGAGAATAATGATACCTGACAGAGTCTGTCATTTTGGAATGTTGTTTTCTAAATAATGTCTTTCTTAACATGTGCCTTAAGAGGAGTAACTGAAGGTGGACTTGGTGGCAAAAGCAAAAATGGGGGACAGAGAGTGAAGCTTGGGGGAAACAGCCAGTTCCTGATGCCTCTTAATGGTCCACCTGTTCCCCATAGCCTTGCACAATTTTGGCATTAGGGTGATTGGTGCTGTGGCCAATGTGTGTGTACAAGCCATGCCGAGGTGCTGGCCAGACACAGAAACCAGGCAGCTGCTCAGCTCCCGCTGCATCTATCCATCAGCCACCCACCTTTGGGAAACTGGCAGCTACTTCACATCCTGCAGATTTTTATCCCACTGTCAAGTTTGCTTTAAACTGGTCAATAGTGCATTATTATGGAGGAAGTGATAAGCAGACAGACAGACAACATGGTTTCATACGCCTTTGTTTCCTTTGGAAACCAGGCTAAAAATGACACAATGATGAACAGAGCTTAACTGAGAAGCATGTTACAGAAGAGAGCTGGTGGAGAGTGAAACAAATGTGTCCTATTGTTTTTTCTCATGCCTGAATACCGGCAACAGTATCTCAGACTATTTCTAGTGATTTGCTCACTTGACACAGAGCATCCAGATGTATGTCCTTACTGGTCTCGGTGAAAATTAACATCCTGGTAATTTTAAACCCTAAAAACCACTGGGGACTCCAGCAGGGCTCGGATGGTGTCCAATAGCATCTTAATCCCTTTTTTCTCCTTGCAACTTCTCCAAAGATAATAATGATGTGTTCTATTTAAATAAACAGAAGCACTGCTCTCAGTGCTCCTGACTAGTATCAAAGCATTCATGTGAGTTCATGATCTTTGGGCTTCCTCACTGGAGAGGTATTCAAGAGATCTAACAGAAAAACTAAAATACACAATATTGCAAAGAAAATTGTCAGCACAAATGAAAAACAAAATAAACTTTTTTTTTTCCTTTTTTTTTTTTCCCTTTTTTCCTTCCATGGGCAGACCTCATGGAAGAATAATTTTTGTTTTGACAGTTCTGCTGAAAAATTTGAAAAGAAAGTGAATGTAGGTTGAAGCAAAACGAAAACAAAACTCTGCCCCAACCTTTCTGTCATTGCAAGTCGGGTAGAAATGTTTTGGCTTCCCTTCTGGGCCATTCAGCCCCCTTGTTTAACTTTGACAGAAAACAAAGCATTACAGTGTATTAGGATGAGGCCCATTTAAGAGTCACCAAAACATCTTCCCAGACTTGAAACTTTGAAATCCCATGGCACAAAAGAGTTCTTAAAAGTGGATATACTTTGAAGAGCTTAACGGGCTAACCTGAAAACTATTCATAGATTTAGTTTGTTTTTTAATTGAGTAGATACACAGTAGCAGAAGTACCTGAGATATGACTAAAACTACCATAAAACAAACATGAGTAGCTACAAGTTTTGCCATAGATTCCTCCAGTGCAGTTTTCTCTTTTAGGCATCTGGCACAGGAGCTGTGGAGCTGTTAGAGCTCAGCATCACCAGGGTGCAGCAGGAGGGGACCATGCACGGCTGTGGCAGTGGGGTCAGCCCGAAGCATGAAGGCTCAGGCACATACACATGTGGTATACATGGTCTGTGCAGTAGCTGGGAACATGGAGGTGTTTTTTGCGCAGATCATTGCAGAGCTCAGTGTCCCTGGCCAAATGCAAAACCTGCAGAAATTCCTCATACGTGTGCTTTCTGTATCAGTGAAAACATATTAATTCCACATTTGGAATATTGTGGATTGTAGTTACTTCTGCTCAGGTCTTCAAATGAGAGTAGATGAGAGATGGAAGCAAATACACCTCCAATGGAATCTATTCGTAATGGTGATTTGCACTTCCATGGATCCCATCCCATGAAAAAGATTTATGGATTCTGGAGAATTACACTCCACAGTCCTTCCCCGATCAAAACAAATTACATTTGACAAAAGGAGAATATAAGATCCTCTATATCAAATGTTAGCAGAACAGGCTGGAATTGTTTGTTGATGGTATATTCAGAATATACAACTTTGTGGAATGGTCTACAGTACAAACAGGAAACCTCCTGTCCCAGTAAGTTCTTCTCTGCTCCTTTGGCCGCCACCACTCAGCCTAAGTCCGTCACCACCACTCCCCACAGTCTCAGCTGCAAAAGGCAGTGATTAACTTCGTATCATTCACTCTATGCAGACAGTCATAGGTCAGGCATGTTGAAGGGCATGGTTTTGAAAGTTTGAAAGGGGCTTGGCTGAGTGCTGTACCTAAGCCTATTTAATTCCAAATGGGAAGTAGGTATCTGACTTCTGTTTCCCAGAAAATTCTTGGTCATGCATCATCTATTTACATTTCCAGATGTAAAACTATCCATGTAAATTATGCTTATTGAGATAAAAATTGAGCCTTTTGGGTATGTTGGTGCTTTGACAATACAGCCAGTAGATGACATTCCCTAGGCCAAGTAGAACACCCAAGAAATCCTGGTTTTGAGAAGCACATATAACATGCTCATCATTGTCTCAGACCCCTCCACATAAGTGGCTAGCTCTCATGCATGCACAGTTTGAAAATGCCCCCTCCCTGTCTCCTGACTTGGATTCATTTATGCAGCAAGATCTCCCTCTCTTCCCATGCATGCAGCTACTTCATATAGGAACGTCTATGTGTTCTGCCCAGCTGTATGTGTTTGAGTATGTTGCCAGACAGAACCATTCCAATGAAATCATTGGACTGTTATTTGGAGGACTAAAATTTCACCCACTTCATAATTTATTTTACTCTCTCCAGAGCCAGTCCATCACGTACCCACTGGAATGCATTGCCAGCTGTCAGAGCACACTAATACTCATTGGCTAGCCAAACTTCAAAGTCTGGTAAGCTGTCCAAGTGGTGGTGGTGGGGGGGGAAATTGGCTGGTGAGTTCTTCACAGCAGCTCACTTGCTTGCTAACCAGGCATACACAAATTCCTGTTTCCCGTACACTGCAGCAGCCAAACAAGAGCAGAAAACCTGCCTGCTGTGCTCTCATCTCTTTCAGACAGCATGCCTGAGTCTCTCACAGGACTGTGGGAATGGGAGCAACTTCAAGCTTTTGCGTCTCTGTGATGATGGAGGTGGGGTGGTTTCTCTATTAAATGTAGTGTTCTGTCTCATCTAGAGAGAGACTTAACCTGACACAGAGAGGAAGCAATCCCAGCAGTGGGCAAGTACAAATGGGAAAGAAAAAGAAACTGTCTCAAAGTCAGCCAAAAGAGAGTTTTGGTGATTGCAATCTCAGTTTTCCAATCAGCTTCAGCTTTATTTGGCCCTTTGGCCTCTGTGCCATTTTAGAGGTTTTGCTACCATCCTTGTTTTACAAAGTAGGGTTTCTTAACCTATTCTGCTTGATAGGTTGCAGAGGTGGTTGTAATGGTGGTGGCACACAGGGTTTTCTCTCTGTGCATGGATTTTCCTTCCAGCATCCTGGGAACCTGGTTTACGAGCAACAGAAGGATTTGGAAATCAATGTCATTAATATGTAGGCATGAAGAGTTTGTAACGAAGTTATTACCAAAGCTGAGAGGGACATAGAGGGTTTGCTTGTAGCTCTTATGTCTGCAGGGAAGGGCAGGATTTGAAACCTTTGTGGATCACCACGCTAGGCTTGGTGAGAAGAAAGATAGGAAGGAGGGAAGAGGAAGGGTTTTTGGAGAAAAGGCTGTATCTTCTCAGAAGCTGGAGGACATTTGCACTGGGTCCTTGGTGTGCCACCTTTGCCAACACACTGTTTAAATCAAGTTGGATGCTCATCCTTCAATTACTTTCTGCTCTGGATAAATTTGGTCAAAATCAGGCATTCCTGCTGTAACCCCAAGAGCTTTGATCTTACCTCAACTGTATTTTCATGAGGAGGGTGATAGAAAACTGTTGTCCTTCCTTTAGTGATTTTCAGAAGATTAATGGTAACTGCTCACCACCTCATTTATTTGCAAGTGTAGCATAAAGGGAGCCCTGGTTTCATCAAAGGAATTGGCAACAGGTTATATGTTACACATAATCTCCACCAGCTGCAAATGCAGCTATCTGATATCTTATACTTCAGTTATGAGATGATATCTGTCTTCCTCCTTTACGGTTTTTGTTAGAAATTAATATTTCTGAGTAACTTTCTAAAAAAGTAAAAAAGAGAAAAATGAACCCACTTCCTGCCCCCCCCGCCATTTTCTGCTGTATGCTCATTGCCCTTTTGACCATCACTTTCTAGTTCCTTTGTGTAGCCCTCCCACTCAGTCCCTTCTGCAGCTTGATGAAAGACTTATTTCCAGGCTGAAGCTTTCTAAATTGTATTCATTAGCAATTAAACATAAATCACAGAAGAGTTTCAGTTGGAAGGGACCTTAAAGATCATTCAGTTGCAACCCCCTGCCATGAGCAGGAGCACCTTCCACTAGATAGGTGGTAAATCTCTGAGCTTGTTTTGTTGATTTTCTGTGAAATAAAACATACACTGGACTTTGGTGGCTCTTGTCTGAGCCACCAAAGGGTGTTATCAAAATGTCAAAACATTATATCAGGTGGCTGAATTTCTTGAAATTGTATTAATCTCCATATACTTGCTTCGGTTTATGTATGTCATCAAAAACTGTGTTTACATTTTTGTCTCTTTCAAGTTGTCCTTGGTGCTTTTCTTTGGGGAAGGAAGGAGTGAAGCAAGAAAGCAAGGAAGGAAGGAAGGAAGGAAGGGAAGGAGGAAACAGCATCCCTTCCTTTCAAACTAGAGACCACATTAGCTTGGGGGCAGCTGTGTTTCTGAAACCCTGGTTTCATTTTTGCAAACCAGAGCACCAAATGGATCAGCTAACACAGGCAGAGGCTTGTTCCAGTGATGGCTCTTTTAGGGGCTGTCTTGAAAAGTGGTGTCTATTTTTAATATCACTGCACACCTGTGCCCTTGAGGCTTATTTTCCACTTGCAAAAGGGAAGCAAAGAGCAGAGCAGTGGGTACAGGTTCATTTTGGGGGAGAGGGAATGCACATCAACGGGACCAGGCAGCATGGGCTGATCAAGGGGTACAATTTTGTTTGCCCTCTAATTAACCTTGATGAAAAATGTTGGTTTTGCTTATTTTGAAGACAATTTAATTCTTTCTTCACAGGCTGTGAATGTCTCTAGTCCATTTAAAAACACCTTAGTGAAACTTAGTTTTTCTGGCTCAGTTGTGCCTTAGCCACTGAAGGATGCAGGACAGAGATTTTGCATGCAGTGCTTGGTCAGAGGCTCCAGAGCTGTTCCTGCCTGTCATTGTCCTGATGTTAACACAAGATAGGAGAAAGTGAAGGTTATAGGCACGGATGAATCATTTAATTTCCTCTTTAGTCCCTGTCCTATGCTTCAAACACTGGGAAATACCCAGCACAGCAGAAAAACACTGGGGAGGAGGGTTTCTATATTCCTCAGAAATTTTAGATACAAAGCCAGTAGCAAAGTTTTCTTGCGTGGGTCCTACCAGCCAGTCCCTACTTAGATGTAACAGTCCTGCAAGAGACACATGTATATTAAGTCCACAAGGGAACAGTCTCTGATGGTTACTCCCTGTGACTTCTTCACCTTCAGCATACCACACTTGCATTTCAAAAGCCTGAACAGGGAACCCATAGTCAACCAATCCTACCACAAGCAGAGGCAGTACAGAGTTATGTCTAAGTCATGCCCCTCACACCCCAAAAAATGTATCAAGAAAGAGAAAACATTCAGATCAGCTAGTTATTTAATTTTATTCATTTAAAGTACTTTTGCTGAAGATTTGTACTGCTCTGCTCCAAAATATGCATGTTGGAATTGATCATTGTGCAAATGGACTATGGATGAAGACAGAACAACCTTTTGTTTTGGCATAGAAAATTACTACATGTGCTATGGCAGTATGAATTTGCACTGTTATGTTTTCTTGCACACCCGTTGAATTGCATACAAAGTTGCATTTTTCAAATTATTTGACAAATGCAAGGATTTATTTTTACCATGCCCTGGAAATCAAAATTACATTCCAGTTTTACAGAATAACACTCTCTATATCCTTTTGACTCTCCTAAACATAATCTGTTCAGTATCAGGCTTTTAATTCTTCATTGGGAAATAGCCATTTGGCTGATACAGTCCTGAGAATGTCTGGACAACTGTCTGGATAATTTCAGCCTGAAATTGCTCTGAGAGCTATTTGCAGCTCAGTCAGAAAGATTTCAGTCTGCACTCAGACACTCTGGATCATCAGAACACAATAAGAGCAAATGGGCCCCACTTTCTGACAGATCTATTAAGTCATGGAGCAATGGTCATTTGGATGGTCTTTTCATGGAAACTGGAGAACTGCAGTGTGTCTAAAGCTACACCGGAGCTATACAGTAACTGAGGGACTCAACTGCCTTTTTCCTGCCTCCACAGTATCTGTCAGAGAGCAGCTTTGGGAGTTTATTATTTAAGGGCAAGCATAGAGCTTTAATACAAAGTGTGTCTGTCATTTCTGTCTTCCTCACACCTCCCAGAAGGGCTTGCACACAATTTGAGTATTTGCCTTACATAGGATACCTCTCGGAGGATGAATACCACAGGGATATGGGAAGCTTTCTATGCTTTTTACTTTATTTTTCTTTTAATCTTGGGATTAACCGTCATGCACACATGGCATTTCAGATCTCATTGATTAGCAGCTGGCAAGCAATTTGCTACGTGACAAGGAATAGCTAGTCAATCAGCACCACTAAAGGAAATGCATTGCATCTTGCAGCTCTAAAATGTCATGTCTGTTGACATTTATATTTCAGCTTTTAAAAATCATTCACAGGCACAGTCCTGGGAGGGCTTTTTCGTTCACTGCTGGGTTTGAGTGGGAGAATTTGCTACTCAAGTGCTCTCTCCATACAGCCATGACCATTTAGGAAGTTTGTCTGCAAAAGATGGACCAGGCATGGGATCTGGTTCTCCCTGCTCCACTTAGGAGCTTGAGTGCTTCTTACGCTTCTAGCTGAAGAAGGGCTGCTTTGCTTTTCCAAGGTTTCACACAGCCTCAGCACAGTCTTACAAGAACTTCTCAATCCCCTATCCCTCCTTTCAGAAGAGGCAATGGCAATGATTAATCAAGTATATATGGTTATTATAATTAATTCCTAGTGTGTGTAGAGGTATTCCACTGACTTTCTTCCCTTTGATTCCTACTGATTGAAACTGGCATACAATTTAGTTTAGACTGTAGTTTTCATTTATTCTTAGCTGGAAACAATTTGAAGGAAACAAAGAAGAAAGTGTGAGAAGCGTGTTAATTAATGAGACAATGGGAAGAGTGATACAATAGAGAAAAGGACCTGGAAGTAATCTTCCGTAGTTTACACGCAGTTAACGATTCCCTTGGGAATCAGTTAGGAGCCTGCAAATAACATGGGTTTTGTCATTTACATGTCTCCCGTATGGACTATTTACATAATTTGTCGCTACAGTTTTCCCTTCTCTCATAAAATATTTTGCAGTTGCTGGTGTATGTTGTGTCTGGTTGTAATTACTTGATTTCCATATTGCATTAGGCAATGATGTGAATGTTTCCCTGGTCTTGCCTCATGTTGATGTGCAAGTTGTGAAGTGTTGGTATTTTGAACTGAATTCATAAGTCTCTGTAGATTTTTCAAAGGCATCTTTTGGTCCAGAAATGAAAAAAGGGAGGATGTGGGAGTAATTGGCTAATCACGGAATGAAACTATTCATAATTGTTAAAACCTTACCAGTGCCATGGTTTGCTTCTCTTATCTGAACAATGTGAAGCTCTCTTCAGTGCCTTTTCTCAGAAAGAATGTAAAACATAACATTAAGGGAGAGAGAGAGGTTTGCTTTGAGATGATGAGATGGAACAAAAATATAGCAGATGTAGCACAAAAGAAATTTTCAAAAGCATGGTTTTTTAAAAAAAAACAGTCTACTGGAAATTAATTTCAGCTCAGTGAAATTTATACATGTCCAAGAGAAAGAACAATAAAAGAGGATGAAAAATACGTTCCTGCACACATCCTTTTGCTTTCTAAAGGAGGGAGGTGGGGAGAGCAGAGAATGAGGAGAAAGGAAACCTGAAGCGGAAACTTGACATTTTTTCATTTCCACACTGAAACAGCCTTTAAAGTTTGGTTTTTTTTCCTTTTTAGTACTAATGACTATTATGTTTTATTTCACCTCAGAATGCTCATTTGAATTAAAATGATACAAACGATACAAAACTCTGTCAGGGGACATATACAAGCATCTTTACTATTCTGCAGTGCAGACTTTTAATTTTTTTAAATGCATTGTGACTTTAAGATCTCAAAATTTGACACAATATTGTGCTTGTGTTAAATTCCCTTCATTATACACAATAGTGGCAGCGAATGGAGCTCAAGCTCCTGCAGGGCCCTTCCTGTGTCGCCAGTGCTCTGACCAAGAGGAGTCCAGAAGACTTTGGGGTAAATGTGTACCCTATTGTGTTTCATTATTTAGGTTCTTGTATATGAGCTAATAATTAATGCCCCACTCTTGCAAAAATTTATGTAAACCCATAACTTTACCCTGTGAGTAATCCCATTACTACCACATCACTCTGCTGCACGGAGGGAACCTTCCCAGAAATGCTGCAAGTGCGGTAATGGAAATGTTATTTCAAAGTTAATTACCCTGGCACTAAAAAGAAAAATAAAGGGAAAGAGTATCGGAGAGAAATTCTTGCAGAACTTGAAGCATTAGAGTGAAATTTCATTCCCACTGATTAAGAGGAGATGTCACAAATCATGCATTGCTTGAAGTGCTAAGGTTTTACACTTGATCTTTGTAGGCAGGTAGTCATTTGTAACCAAACAGTTCTGCTGTGCCTTTGTATTTGAGAACTACATCTTGAGCATGGATTGTTGCTTCAGAATGAACACTGACTTATGTTGGTATACGCTCCATGGATACAACAGGGAAAAACACAGTTTAAAACCTTCTATCTTTCTGGGGTTTTATTATGGAAGATCAAAAACTTCTCTGGTGTCACATTCTGCCTTGGTTTACACTCTGTAATCTTATCAGCTTCAGCGGGACTGTCTGAGGTGTAGGTCATGACAGGGTGTTGGCTTTTTTTTCCTAGCCCCTGCTGGTTCAGAGAAAGCTCTCCCATCTCAAGGGAATATGTTGCCCCGTCAAATACAGAGCCATCTCTGGAGCCTTCAGGATGGGAAAGAAAAAAATTAATTAAACCTCATGTCTTTCATCTCAGGAAGGGTGCTCTCTGTCTAGCACATAAGTCTCAAAGTGAAGATGGAGGGAGAACTGGGCCTTTTTGTTGTCTGGCAAATAATATTTTATATATTTTATTATATATTTTATTGTCCTCTTCATAGTTCTGTAGATTTGGGGAAGTCTTCACTGTGACTGTGCAAATATTGAAAATTCAGCATGAACTGAAAGATCATCCTCACAGGTGGCAACAGAATATTTTCAGCGTAGAGGGCGAGATACTACACTTGTATTCAGTCCGTGCAGTTGCTGGAAGGTTTGACTGAGGTTTGGCAAGCCACATACTGAACCTTTACTTTTGATGTGGACGTTATACCATAATGGTGTTAACTTAGTCACATTCATTCACTCCCAGCATAGAGCAAAGAGAGTGCAGGCTTGATTTGTAGCATCTCCAAAGCCTTTTTGGCAGGCGTGGTGTTCTTGATCTCAGAACAGTCCCCAAAAGCTAACATGCTGTTCAGGTTTGGCATGCTGATGCGAATGTGGAGCACCTTCTGACTGGGTTACTTTCCATAGTAGTTGGGATATTGCATCAGAAGAAGTGTTTTGGAGAAGGGCAGTATTGTAATAGGTGTCATCCCCTGCTGTGTGCCTTTTGGCAACTACAAAAGAAGTGAAAATGCTAGGCCACTCAAAAAAAGAAAGCAGGACTGTTACAGGCCACCTACCAGTCTTTTCTCTCTCCACTTCAGCAACATGTGCATCCGAAACACTAGGAAATGCCAAACTCTTCGTATCATATGAAAGCTAGAAACATTATCACATCTATTCTGGATGTGGTTTAGGGAGAAAGGCAGGGAAAACAGGGGATGTATTAAGGAAGATGAGAACAGCCTTTGCACCTTCATTTTATTCTGTTTATTTTTACAGTCAATTACCAAAGAAATCCTGTCTCTGAAAATATAAAGGGGTGATCTGGACCTCAGTGAAAAGAAAGCAAGATCACTAACTTCATTTTGAAGCTGGACAGGAGGCATGTTCTGCTCCGGTTCTCTCAGCCCTGACCACTGCTGGGTTTGATGCTGCTCCCTCAGTTTCTGGGCAACCTCAGTGTCCTTCATCCAGAATTCATAACAAAAACAGATACTGAGATCAGGCAGTCTGCTGCCTTAACCACGTCCTTGTGGATCTGGGCATTCATAACACCATGTTAAAAACAGCAAGGGCATCCTGCTCTTTTCCCCTGCTATTGAATTTTTCCTGCTCACTGGTAACAGACATTGAGGCAGATGATCTTTTTATAAGGTAATTTCTGCTCTGTGCCTCTTGCCAGCTGCATTGAGCCCTTTCATGTTATTAAAATGCAATTGAACAAGAGCAAGTTGTTAGTAATTTGTCATCTTCTCATCCAAATGAGCAGTCCAGCCTTTCATATCCATTACCATCTCTCTGTTGAGTAGCTGAGCTTTGCTGCACCATTCACTGTTCAGTGTATAACACAACCATATTTTTTCTTTCTCATCTTTCTCCTACCAATATCACTGACATTTTATTTTCCTTATGATGGTGTTGACAGAAAAAATACTATCCCTCCTTCTGCCCTCGCAACAATCCAGCCTTTCCCTTTCCTAAGCTTTTCTTCACCAGGATGGATTGGTAAACAAACTTCCTTTCTGGATTCTTCAGTATTTCTTTGTCTCTGTACATCTTGAATTATAAAGAGCTGATTTATTACGTATTTACTGTAATCTGTCTGGGAAGTTACTTTTCAATTCACTCTGTTCTCCTTCTTTACAGTAGACTTAATGTGACCCTACTGATTTGTCTGAATCCAAAGAGTTAGTTGCTTTCTGATGCTAATTCACAGCCTTGAATCAACTGTTGAGGATTATGGCGTGTCCTTTTTCACTGGACCATTTTACACTGTATTTTGTCACGTTGAAAGAGAGCAAGGCAGATTTGAAATAATAAACACAGTTATCAATGACACAGCTGAAGAAGTAAACAAGGAACTCATTGATTTCGTAATAAATTTACCTTACTTATTTACCATACAGGGGAAAATGCATACATTTTGTTGACTTTCACTGGTGAGGCTTGATGGGTGAACCAAGAATATAAAAACAAGCCAACGTTTAGTAACTAAATTAATGTTCTTTAGTCACTTAATCTGTACAAAAAAAGGAGGTCACATGAAACTGAAGTATGCTCCTGTGTCATTAAAACAGGAGGAGCAATTTACAAAATTACATGTGCTAGATATTTATACATGTGTGACTTGATACATAATCTGCTGATATCCTTGCAAATATTCCCATTGGTTACAGCTGGATATCACCATGGCTTCACTTTTGTCAAGGCATTGAGAAATACACTTCCCTTGGGATAGAATTAAGAAAGGACATAGCTACTTAATATTTTTTTCTTTATTCTGCACTTTGTGCAAATCTAGATCTCAAAGTAAATCAGTATTTACTGATTTGGGAGTTTTAAGGTCAGGTATTTGTATATGTGCAATCGTGCATATGTGCACAGCATCTACCTTTGATTTCTTTAAGGAGACAAGTTCTGTGGAAACTTTATTTTATTAACTGAGTTATACATTCATGCACTTGGCTCACTGGATTAGCCTACGTGGCTATTTCTCATTTCAGATCTGAACAATGGCTCGTCGAAAGAGGAAACTGTATCACACTGTATCAATCAAAATCAAATGTCACCGAAAGTCACTCTGGGAAAACAATGGCTAGAAAGCAATGCCTGTAACCTGGGAAGGAGACCTAGAACTGTGAATGAAGAGTCTTGTTTATGTTTACAGCATAATATAAGGGTGTAATGAAGATACTTGATTTTTATAAAGCTAGCAGCTAAAGACAATTAGGGAAGCAACAGACACAGAAGGAAAGGAATTCAAACAAATTGCTGCAGGCAGGGTTGGTCTCAGCTTGAGAGTTTATGTAATTGTTTCTTGTTAATGCCTGCAGTTTAGCAACATGACTAACTCTGTGACATTTCAAATGTCTTCCTGAGAAATTCACTCACATTGAGTTTATGGATAAGGATATGAATGCAGCTGCAGGAAAATATACTACAAAGCTGAATCTTTAGACTTCTAAGTGAATTGATATTGAAAATGAACAAATTGAAAGGAGTGAGACTGTTTTCTGGCTTCTGGCAAGTTGACGTTTTTACTGTTTCAAGCAAAGTGACAAGTCAGTCAAATACCAACAAAGAAATAGTAGAGCTAACCAGAGAAAGTAAGGGTTCTCCTTAGGCAGATTAAACACTGACAAAAGCTAAGAGTAACTGCCTATTTACATTACTGATTTATCTGGGAGGTGAAGCCAAGGACATTTTACCCCCCAAGTCCCTGATCCTTACAAAAATAAATAATTCTATATCATTTAACTGCATACTCTGCAGCCTCACTGACTCCAGTGGGACAACCTGTAGAGCATAAAACGGAGGACACACACAATTCTTTGGATCAGATTTAAATGTATTGCAATCTTGTTTCCAAATGGTCAGTAATGTCCCAGACAGCAAACATGCCTGTGCCCTCTTGTACAGGCCACATTTTTTCCATTCCGTTTACATTATCACTTGCTAAATTTATCACAGTGCTTCCCTAACATTGCATAGCTTTTCTGCCTGGGCATTTCAAATATAGCAGAGCACACACTCTGACTGGCTGGTCACACTTTCGAAGAGAGACTACCACCCTCTAGAGCCACAACTTGCCAGCAAGTGTCCTACAAGGCAGCTTTCGGGAAACATTCATCTGCAAAGTTGCAGGGTGTGTTTACTCCACGACAACTGAATGAAGGGACACAGATCCACACTGTGTCCTTCCTGCTGTGTGCTTTGTCATGTAGTTCAGATGGTCGGCATCTCTTTTCACTTCCTGCATTTCAGCTGAGAATGAGGAAGGAAGGAGGATGCTTAACAGGGAAACAGCACTTTCAGAAGTAAGTGATACCCCTGTGAGTTGGGGTGACCCTTGAAAAATAGGGTAAAAACTCTTAGTTGCATACAAAGCCAGCGCTGCATGTATAGCAGATGCATTGGGACCAATTTATTGGAAAACATTAGATGACAGGAAGCCATTTGGGAGCATTCAGATATACGTACATGCAGCTTGGCTTAATCAACACGGTGTCTTTATGAAGGCATTTGACTTTTACATCTGTGTACAGAGGATCCTCAGAGTCAGATTCAGGTGAGATTTGAACCCCAGAGTTGAGAATGAGAGATTATTTCCTGATCTCAGACTCCCAGAGTCATTAGCATGCTCCAGTCCTGGAACAGCGGGATGAACCACTGCAAAGATAGGAGCCACTTCTTTGCCTGCGCTTGGTACCCAAGACAGTAACTTGAAAGTACAAATTGCTTCAGCCCTGTTGCCTTCTGATAAGCCAGAACAGCCATCTGAGAGCTAGCCTGGGCATGTTTTTTCTATTATATTCTAGTCCAGTCTAGCCTATATTCTGGGTATTCACCAGATATCATAAGTCTTTGTGTCAAGCATTCAGCAAAGATCTCTTCTGCAAATAGGCTTGTGAGAAATAAGTTTCTTCCTTTCTAAATACACTTGAAACAGTCCCACCAGTGGTGCACTAACAAGCTGTGTAATATTTGCTTGCATGCTACTTTCTTTACTCTTTAAAAGGCAATCAGAAAATATGACTGTTTACAAATATTTGGAGTCAGTAAAGTTGTGCCTGCCACAAGATTAAAGGTAGCTTTATCTTCAGTGTAGATGCTAATGTACACACCTTGGACCAACAAGGTTGAGAGACAAGAGCCGTTAATTAAGTATTTTTTAAGGATGGAAGTCAACATGCACTTTTCCCAGGGCCTCTTAGTATTTCCATTATTTAAAGAGCAAAAAGGAAACCAACACAGAGTTAGTCCATGATTTAATTAATTTTTGAACTGATTTAATTAATTTTCAAACTGAAGGCAGCAGCTATATTGCTTTGTGTCTGATGCGTCTTCCTTTTTTTCAACCCCTCTGCCTGTCTTTACCCTAAAAAACAAAGAAACAAAAAACACACACTTTTCAAGACCATATATTTTCAATATAAATGTTGCCATAAATATGTCTCACAGTACTCTAACAGCTAGTGCTAGCCTTTTTCCATATAGCCAGAAAAGGGCAGAATGCAATTAAATCTCTTTTTAATGATGGGCAGCTGAAGTTAGGATGTGAGAGAATGACAAGAAAGTTGTTGATAGCCAAGAGAATTTGATCTGTGAGAGGCTTCTTGCATGAAAAATAACAAGTAGTTTAGTATCAGTCTTCAAAAGGACTATGACGTGAGGCAGCAAATTCCTGAGAGAAGGAATACATGCAGGGTTTTTAGTAGACATAGACTGTACATCCTCTAATCTTCATCTACAGACTTAGAAGGACATATGCTATGTTCTTTTTGTGTACATGAAATGCCTTAGTTTTATTAAACACGTGCTATTAAGTACTATACTATATTTATACTAAATAGTGCAATTTGAGTTAACTTCAGTTCAGCTCTGAACAAAAACCACTCACACGAATGACAGCAAATACCCAAAATGCCTTTTCAGGGGGAAAGGATCAGGCCCTACTTTCACACTGCATACACTGGTTCAGTGTGTCAGGCACCACACTAGCCATTTTGTTACCATAACCTTGCTTGTTACCTTTTTAATTCTAACTGACAAATTTAGAAAATTATTACTTCTTCCTTAGAAGCGCAGGAGCATAAATCTGTAATCAGCTTGATGTCATATAATCTTGCTGGCCCTGTACTGGTGCTATGAGAAAACAGCTACGAGTAGCAACTTCCACTGAACATGATGTCATGTTCAGCACTCAAGTTTGGGTTGACAGCTGGCAGCCCAGGGAGTCACACTTCACTCGGAGTTGGTACAGGAGATGATTTCCCAGCTCACGAGACCTGGTAGTATCTCCCACAACATCTCTGCGCTGGGGCAAATCAGGGTATGCATTGCCTTCATGTAATATCCCTCCTGCTTTCTGTAAAGTGGGAAATTCTAATAAGGATGTTGAAAACTAAGCTCTGGTGTATTCTGACCACAGAGAATACTTGCCATACACTTCAGATGTGGCTTCAATGACTACACCAATACAGACAGAAGGCATGTGGATGCTGGTGAAACTGCCTTAAGCCGGTTGCAGTTATTCTTCTGATTTCACAATAGCGGCACAGCCTATCTGGCTCTCTGGTTTGCATCCAGTTTCCTTCTTTGTCATCAAGCATAAGGGCAAGCTCAGAATGACACAGGCAGTTGGAGATCAGATATGTGGTATTGTGAAAGCCTTGGTCATCAAACACACTTGTGCATTAGCCAGAAGCGTGATGTGGAGGTAAGGGGTGAAGTTATTCAAGCTGTTCTCAGCACCTCGTGTACTCTCTGGGAAACACCCCATCAGAAATTATTTTTAATGTTGTGACAGTTAAACTAAGGAGAAAAGAAATGAAAAAGTGTGCTACGTGAAATGCTCTTTATACTTTCCATGGCTGGTAAAGCTCCTCTACGTAAAAGAAAGTTATACTTATCTAATGCAAATAATGTGTGACGCAGAGAATTCTAGGCAATTTGAATCCTTAACATTCTCTTTCAGAGAGGAGAATAAAAACCTGAAAGCAGAAAGTCTTCTCTACATGTATCTTTTCTATTTTATAATTAATGTTATTGTCACTTGCTCTAAGCTTTCTTTATGCTCTGTCATCTAGACAGTGCCATTATCTCTTTCCAGTGCCAGTTACTATGCAGTCTCTGGGCAGGGTAAGAAAAGAAAGGGCAAGAAAAATGGTGAATACATTAAAAGACAGTCTTACTGATTTAGATCAACCTTGAACTATGGTTGTTTGAAACGCCAGCAGCAGAATTATATCCACTCCCTCGCATATGCAAGACTTTTCTTTGATATGTAGACCTGTTGTTTTTTTCCCTGACAAATTTCATAAACACATGCATTTAATCACACAATACAAATCCAATAGTGCAATCACCTCTGTGACTTTTGCAGAGGCTTCCTGTATACTGAAGAGGAAGAATAAATAGCAAGTCAGCATGAACTACAGAGAGTTCCATCAAGGGTTTCTGGTGATGCTATAAACAAAATGAATCTCAAGTCACCAAAAACCTGTGCCAGAATCATAGCTCTATGCTTCAAATAAAACCTTGCAAAAAAATTAACGTGCAAATGTAAAATTAATAGCGTTCATTTTGAAAGTGATGTAAGGCAGCACATCTTTAAAATGTGCCTGCCTGCTTCCCCATTCTTTAGTCTTCAGGAGGCTTTTTGTCAAGGGCATGTGCCTTGATTTTCCTAATACAAGCGAAAGCTGCCTGAATGCTCTCTGATTTGGATATGCATTTGTAAATGCTTTGACCAGTTTAAAACTCTGTTGGGTGGCTGGCCCTCTGATCCATACTCTCCAAATTATTTTAGGCCAGGCTGAATTCAGGACTATAATCACAGGGCAACACTAACAACTAACCCCTATCCATGGAGTTTTAATGGACACATTTTCTAAACATCATCCTATGTGTGTCTATTAAAACCCCATGGATAGGCGACATTTTCAGATATTTACAGCTTTCTTTGGACACAGTCAAGCAAAGAGGTAGGAGACTGGACCAAGAGGGGAACTACAGCACTGAGAAGTGGCTGCAATGTACCAAGGTTTCCACCAAGGAATAACTGAGCTGCCGCACCCCGACCTTGCCTAAGCCTGCTGCCTCACCCACAAAAGACAGCAAACCTGAGCAGTGTCCCTGGGAAGCCACATTATGGTCCAGTCGGTTGATTGCTTCTTTGACTGTGACTCATGAAACAGCCACATGCAAAATGCTTGTTTGTCCTCAAGTAGCCTCCAAGCACCATCTCTCTTTAAAAATTAATTCAGTCCAAACTGATGAATGGGGCTAGGTTGCTACCTCTACAAGAGAAAAATCGGTGGGGAAAGAAACACTAACAATTTTCTGCTTTGAAGACTAAAATAACCCCTTTCATCCTCTAGCCTGATGTATTGTAAGTGACATCCTTTCCTTACATCAGCATCTGGAGACTATAATTATCCACATAATACAAGAGCTGGGGGAGTGTTTTTGTGATGCTTTGGGTTGAAGGATGCTTCGGAAGGCTAAACAGTGCTCACTAATAATAGGACCTCTAAGATGCTATATGTGTCTCTTTGTCCAAAGACCCCTTTTTTCTTCTGCCCTGAACCAATGGCAGGACACTGAGAAGCCAGTGCTCTGTCTTATCCTTCCCTCTCCTCTCTGCAGCTCCGGCTCCTGGAAATCCTGCCGTCCCACAGTTAATCAAGCTGCCCAATTTTTGTTGTGTCAGAGGGGCCTTTTCCTATTCACACTGTGAAGGGAAGCCTGCTTTGTCCTTCTTCTAGTTTCCAGTCTGCCCCAGGATCTGCAGAGGGGACCAGGCAGCAGGGAGGAGGTGAGAAAGGAAAGTTGGGCTTCCGACATGCAGAGGGAAAAGAAACAAGCTGGCTTTACACCCTTTCAGGCAGAGAGACCTCTGAGAAAGAGAAAGAGGGTTTGTCAGCCCCCTGCCTGGACTGTGAGGGCAATAACAGCTCCTAGTTTTAATTTATTTTACCCATTGATTACCCATGGTGGCTTATGCAGAATGGCAGCTACAAAAGAGAAATTCTGAAGTCCACGGAGTTATTATCCCCTAAATCGTCTTCCCTTGTCTGATGTTTACAAACAGTCCATGGTGCCATTGACACAAGTATCACACTGACTTCAAGACTTTGCTGTGTATGTGAAATGTGAAAAAGGAAAGGAATTTGAAAGCCCCTGCTGTTACCTGAGTGCTTTCCATACTGAGCTGCTATTCATCACCTCCACATTCAAAGAGTTTACCCTTTGTAGAACCTCAGTGGTGCAAGCTTGCCAGAATTAAATTATTTAAACCCAAGCTTGCTGGAGCGTCTGCAGTTTGCACCTTTTGTCACATCCATGGCTGCATAGCAGGTTGAAGTGTAGGAAGAAATGGCAGTGACATGGCCAGAATCAGAATAAGATTAATCCGGCTTCCAGTGGAGCAAGAAGCAGTGAGCTCCCAAGTTTTCTGCATTCTCAGATGCTACAGCAGTGAAGAACAGCCTTCCCTGAAACTAAACATCAGCAGCGGTATGCATTTATTATGTCTGCTGTTGAGTCACAAATGTCTTTTGTATGGAAACAAGCAGGATGTGAGGATAGCTATTCAAGCAGAGTTTTCCCCCCTGTGGAATGGCCATAGGGTGCCTATACTATTCTGGGACAACAATCACTCTGTGTCCCCAATTCTGCATGCTATGGCTAAAGCAGAGAAGGAGGTTTGTCTTCTGGAGAACAGAGGAGCTGGTCAGCACTGAAGTCAAGGACAGGCCTGTATTGCGTCCTGGTTTCCTTATATAGTATCCTTGAGAATTTTGAAGAAATCAGGAGTGCAACATAAAACCCTGGGAAAATTAACAAGCAATTTCTGTAATGGCCAATTTTTACAGTGCTGGAATTGCTACTGAGCAGGATATCAGTCAAATTAACTTCTCCCCTCAGCCCCTGCACTTGCCAAGTTCCCAGATATTTTACCAAGAAAACAAGAATCGGGGCACATGAGTTTTTTCGTCTAGATTTTGTCTAAGCTAAAGACAGTAAGCAAACCTTCAGGGAAAATGAAGAGAAAAGTAAAATTGGCTCACCCTTCCCACTTACTGCTTTAATAGAAAGGTTTGCAAGGAAATGAAACTTCAGGAAACACCATTTAATCCCACAGCAAACAGTCATTCTGTTTTTTCCCATGGAATAGGGTAAGCAGAACACAGATTGGCCTCTAATAAATGAGAAAACAAACACACGAAGGAGCACATGGTCAGAAGTGACAAGGGCAAGAGTAGAACGATCCAGAAGAATAAATGAAACTGTGAAATTTAATAATAATATTCCCTAAAGATATTAAAAATTCTGTTCTGACTATTGCAAAGCCCCCTTGAATACACTGATCCAGAGCCTGAACTCTCTTCCATCAAAATTTCCACTGCTCCTACTGTTTCAACTTGCTCAGGATGAGGAAATCATCTTGAAATACAACTGGAAGGCACTTTAATAGCCATTCCCTCACATTTGCTTTCAAGAGTACAAATCTGTGTTTTGAGAAGTTTAATTAAAGTTAACCACCTATGCAGAAATTATGGGCTTGCTTGTTTCAGCTCTCCCTAGGGGTATGTCCTTCCCGGCTGAATTAAGTTGCCACTGTGTTTCATTAATATGCATCTGATGCTTAATGAATTGGGGTGTTATTACCATTGGGTAGAGGTGGATTAAAATTGAGTCCAAAGCCTTTTCCTTCATTTTGTTAATTATACTCTGCATTCATTGCATGCAGATGAAATGATGAAAGACTCTGTTGTGCAGGATTTGGACATTTCACACTTGGAACATAAATTGGACTGATTACC